GAGGCTCAGCTGAGTTCAGAATAGTTAATCACTCTTTTTTAAAAAAAAATTATTATTATTATTATTACTATTATTTTAAATTTTGCTATAGAGCACACGTGCTTACCAAAGAGACAGAGAAAGTAAGAAAGCAAGGCACCAGGTCCGGGACTTGAACTGTGGGGTCAGCCATGTGGGAGTTCAGTACCTTAAGTACCACTCCATCTGCTGACCCCAGTCAACCACTCTTTTCTTAGAGAAATTTTTGCTATAGGGTGCATGCATTCACCAGAGAGATGGAGACAGAAAGTGAGAAATCCCCTTCCAGAGGGAATGGCCATGCCACAATCCCTTCTCCATTCTCCCCTTGGGATTTTGGACACACACACGCACACATGCACACACATGTAAACCACTGGGTCTGAGACTCGAACCATGGTTGACTATGTGGGAGTCCAGCAACGTAACCATTACTCTATCTGCTGGTCCCGGCCACTCTTACTATATAACTTTCTGAGGCCGAGTTGTACATTCATCTCAACCAAAGACTTGACATTTAATTGTCTATGGCCCATTCCCAACCGTGGAAACTAAACATGGCGGGGCCAGAGGGCAGTTTTTGCTGTTGAACAGTTATCAGACTCCCCCCGCCAAAAGAAAGAAGCCAATCCTTAACCACAATAAACACAGAGATTACATCCAGATCATTTATCACGACTGACCTGAAATTTGGATCCTTACTTTGGTATGTCTTTACAATGTGATGAAGCTTGAGAGGAATCTGAGAATGCCCAGGTCCTGCTTTCATCAATAAGCCAGCATTGAGTTTTTTTTTTTTTTTCTTAAGGGCTTTGCATCAGATCTTTGGAGTATTAAGACTGGAATGTATAATTTTACGATTTTCCAAAATGTGTTCCGGCCTTTTTCTTATTATTCCTCCTTTTTTTTTTTAACTTGTAACAAATCTGGAAGGGGATCAGAAACTCGAGAATAGTTAGGAAGTGAGAGAGCAAGCCACCAGGTCCAAGACTTGAACCATGGTCAGCCATGTGGAAGTCCAGTGCTTTTAACCACCATGCCACTTGCTGGCCCCCAGAATCCACTTTTTCCATGATTAAAACCACTGGGGCCACCAGGTGGTATGCTGCTTTAGGCGCTGGACTCCCACATGGCTGAGTGCAGTTGGAGACCAGACCCAGCAAGTGCTCAAAAATCCTGAGAGGAGATTGGAGGAATAGGGGTTGTGGCATGGCCATCTCCCCTGGGGGGGTGGTGGTGATTTCTCACTGTCCCTTTCTCTGTCTCTCTCCAGTGAGTGCAGGTGACCTATGGCAAAACATCCCCTCTCTCCAAAAAATCTAGAAAAATTCAAGTGAGCAGAATGTGTCTCCGTGTTATGCCTTGATGATGGACAGAAGCCGGAAAAATTTTACTTTTATCCAGGAGGCTCAGCTGAGTTCAGAATAGTTAATCACTCTTTTTTAAAAAAAAATTATTATTATTATTATTACTATTATTTTAAATTTTGCTATAGAGCACACGTGCTTACCAAAGAGACAGAGAAAGTAAGAAAGCAAGGCACCAGGTCCGGGACTTGAACTGTGGGGTCAGCCATGTGGGAGTTCAGTACCTTAAGTACCACTCCATCTGCTGACCCCAGTCAACCACTCTTTTCTTAGAGAAATTTTTGCTATAGGGTGCATGCATTCACCAGAGAGATGGAGACAGAAAGTGAGAAATCCCCTTCCAGAGGGAATGGCCATGCCACAATCCCTTCTCCATTCTCCCCTTGGGATTTTGGACACACACACGCACACATGCACACACATGTAAACCACTGGGTCTGAGACTCGAACCATGGTTGACTATGTGGGAGTCCAGCAACGTAACCATTACTCTATCTGCTGGTCCCGGCCACTCTTACTATATAACTTTCTGAGGCCGAGTTGTACATTCATCTCAACCAAAGACTTGACATTTAATTGTCTATGGCCCATTCCCAACCGTGGAAACTAAACATGGCGGGGCCAGAGGGCAGTTTTTGCTGTTGAACAGTTATCAGACTCCCCCCGCCAAAAGAAAGAAGCCAATCCTTAACCACAATAAACACAGAGATTACATCCAGATCATTTATCACGACTGACCTGAAATTTGGATCCTTACTTTGGTATGTCTTTACAATGTGATGAAGCTTGAGAGGAATCTGAGAATGCCCAGGTCCTGCTTTCATCAATAAGCCAGCATTGAGTTTTTTTTTTTTTTTCTTAAGGGCTTTGCATCAGATCTTTGGAGTATTAAGACTGGAATGTATAATTTTACGATTTTCCAAAATGTGTTCCGGCCTTTTTCTTATTATTCCTCCTTTTTTTTTTTAACTTGTAACAAATCTGGAAGGGGATCAGAAACTCGAGAATAGTTAGTTTGCCTTTTTTTTTTTTTTTTTTTTCTCTTGCCAAGGGTACCCTGCAGCTGTATGTTCTATTATTGAAAAAGGAGGAACGCCCTAGTTAAATGGAAAACCCAAAGGTTATAATTCCAGCAACAATGGAAACATTCAGATTTATGGATCTGGGGGCTGGAGGAAGAATGGAGGAGAAGGAATCAAGGAAGGAGGTGGTGAGGACAAAAAGAAGTTGAGTGTAGCAATGTCTTCAAGACGCCATTAAAAAAAAAAAAGTCTCACCCAATTGAAAGGTGAAAAATATGACCACTTACTCATCTGGATGCCTGCAAACATCTGGATGGTTGGCATGAGGTAAATAGAACACCTGGAAGAGTGACTACATTTTTCGCTTTTTCTTTGCACAAATCTTTGGGCATCTTATGGGTCCCATATGTGTCCCAGAGAGTTTCGCTACAAGTACATTTGCTTGCTGTTAAGTTGACGCAAGCCTAACATAGATACCTTCTGTATGAGGAGACTTAACCTACCGGTGTTACTTGGAGAATGACACAAATGGAGGTGTCCAGTGATAACTGAACCCAAGCTACTCTCCTTAGATTGAAGAGCTGATTTATAAACCAGTCCGAAGCCAAATGAGTTACTGCTGAGTGAATGATCTGAAACTTTATCTCTGAGGCCAACCACCCTTACTTACTGTTCAAGGCAGAATGAGTGGGACCAAGGATGTGCACCAAGAACAGGATGATGGAGACCAGCAGATGGAGTAATGGGTACATCACTGGATTTTCACATGGCCTACCCCAGTTCAAGTCCCAGACCCAGAGGCTTAAAACGCATGCTGGGTGCATGTGCATGCACACCACAAATCCTAAGAGGATTGTGAAGGAGAAGGGATTGTGGTGTGGCCATCCTCGCTGGGGGGTTATTTCTTGCTTTCTGTCTTTCTGTCCCTCTATCTCTCTGGTGAGTACACACACTCTATAGCAAAATTCTCTTTTAAAAATATCAAAAAGAACAGAATGATGTCCAGTTGTCTATTTTCAGCACCTGGCACAGTACCTGGATCTTGATAGGGGAATCAGTAAATATCTGTGGGGAATTGGGTGAGTGGCATTGGATATATTTGAAATCTAGAGCCGGAAGCAAAGCGTAGTAGGTCAAGTAAGTCAGATTTGGTTTTAATTCCAGTCTCTGTTCTGTGTAACTGTGGATAAGTCACTTCTTTTTTTTTATTTTTTTTTTTACATTTTTTTCTTTCTTTATTTACATTCATTCACTGTACATCATTATAGCATACAAAATGAGATTTTTCCATTGAGAATACACTGTATATTGGCTCAATCAAGCACATCAACATATGTGTTATTGTCAACACATCATTTTCTATATCTTGTTTCCTGTATATTTTGCCTTTTTTCCCATCCTTGATTCCCTATCTCACCCTCTGCCATCTCCCACCCTCCTCCCACACTGTGTCTGGTATCTATTGTCACTTCTCTGAGCTTCAGTGTTTTCCTCTCTGGGAGAGGAATGAGAGTAGACACCTTGAGGAATTATGATGAGATTAAAGTAAGGTCCCTTAGCAAGTACTCAATAAGTAAAAACTATTATTATTTCCCCTGTTATTCAATCCTGACCTCGTGGTTATCAACCATCACAGTGAATTGCATGGATACCTTGGTGTTTCCTTTTTTTTTTTTTTTCCACCACTTTCCAAAGACAGACAGAATCTCTTAAGACGTATGGATTAAAAAGGGATTGGAAGATGAAAAAGAAATCATGTCCAGATTGCAGGGTCAAATTCCAGCTAAGGAATGAATCTGTTGAAATTCACACCTTTTTTTCACATTGGGTAGTCAGGAAAGTCCGGATGCATTTTTTTGCATAGAAAAATATGCCCTGACTTTCCCGATGCTACACTTTTTCTGTGAACTATTGAATATCTGAAGACCCCTCATGTTTGTATTGTTACTGGATGTGAACTAGTTCTGGAAATAAAGCGATGGACCAGACAGATAACACCCTACCTTCATGGAATTGATATTCTGGGGAGGAAGGAAGATAACAGTAACTGCTATTTATTGAGTGTTTTCTTGTGCCAGTCTCTGGACTGCATGTGTAATATTTATTTTTCCTTTTACTTCTGAGCACTGCCCTGTGTAAGAAGTGCTGCTATTACTCTTTCCAGTTTACAGATGAAGAAACTGAACTCAGAAAGGTCATATTATTTGCTAAAGTCATCGCCCATTACAGTCCACCCCTTTTTAATCAGCACGGCAGTTGGAAGCAACAATATCTCAGACTTAAGTCTTTTTTGTTTTAATAATGAATAATTTTATTTTATTTATCATTCTAATTTTTCTTTTTAAAAATTTGCTACAGGGCATGCATGCTCACTAGAGACAGACAGACAGATAGACAGATGGAAAGTGAGATAGCAAGCTGCCAGGTCTAGGACTTGAACCATGGTCAGCCCATGAGAGTCCAGTGCCTTAACCACCCTACTACCTACTGGCTCCCAGATTTAAGTCTTTAGTCCTCTGGCCAAATGACCATCTCTGCTTTAAGCTGTCTGAGAGCTGGTTCAGGCTCATCGGTCTCTCTCCTCCTATCCTAGATGAAGAATGTTCCACCACAGACCATCCCTACAAGAAGCCCTACATGGAAACATCACCCAGTGAAGAGGACCCCTTCTACCGCTCTAGCTATCCCCAGCAGCAGGGCCTGAGTGCCTCCTACAGGACAGAGTCAGCCCAGCGGCAGGCCTGCATGTATGCCAGCTCCGCGCCACCCAGCGAGCCGGTCCCCAGCCTAGAGGACATCAGCTGTAACACGTGGCCCAGCATGCCTTCCTACAGCAGCTGCACGGTCACCACTGTGCAGCCCATGGACAGGCTACCTTACCAGCATTTCTCTGCTCACTTCACCTCAGGCCCTCTGGTCCCCAGGCTGGCTGGCATGGCCAACCATGGCTCCCCGCAGCTCGGAGAGGGAATGTTCCAGCACCAGTCCTCCGTGGCTCACCAGCCTGTGGTCAGGCAGTGTGGGCCTCAGACTGGCCTCCAGTCCCCTGGCAGCCTTCAGCCCCCTGAGTTCCTCTATTCTCACGGCGTGCCAAGGACCCTGTCACCGCACCAGTACCACTCTGTGCACGGAGTCGGCATGGTGCCAGAGTGGAGCGAGAATAGCTAAAGCTAGAGACTGGGGAGAGAGAGAAAGAGAGAGGGAGAGACAGTAGCAAAGAGAACCCCACGGACAAGATTGTTCATTTCACCCAGCGTTCACGTCCGTACCTGAGGCTGCTGGATGCTGATCTAATCAGTAGCTTGAAACCACAATTCAAAAAATGTGACTTTGTTGTTTTGTCTCCAGACTTAAAAAACCAACAACAACAAAAAATGAGTTCTACTCCCATGGCCACCTTACTCACCAACCAACTGCATTCATGCCATATGCAATGCCCTTCAAGTTCCTTCTTTAGGGCTCCAGAAAGCCTTGCCTCATTGAGTGTTTTATCCAAATGGGTATTTGAAGTCTTTCTCTGTCTCGGTATTGATGTTGACATTGTTATATAATAAATAATAATATATATATATATATTTTTCAATTTTCTTTGCGGGACCCAGTCCCTTGTTTAGGAGGAGATCTGAAGCAAGTAGGTTTCAAAATCTGTACTTGTGGGATTCCCTCCAAATAAACCATCCCCGATACCTAAATGCATCACCCCCTGCCTTGACTTAGAAAAGTACCTACCTCGGCCATGCGATGTTTCTGAAAACGTTCCCCGGGTCTCAGCTTTTCTTCGATTTCGTCCGCCTCCCTCATCATCATGGCATTCCACTCTGCCTTGTACTTACCCGTGGAGTCGAGAGACGGTCGGACTCCATCTGACGGCGTATCTTATGCAACCCTCCCGTCTGTCCAGCCGTCTGTCGCTAAAACGTGGCCTATAGCTTCCCAACCGGAAAGCTCGCTTTGAAAAACTTACAAAGCTCTGGTTTACATGCGGGCAGAACTGTGATAAGCAGGGTGCAAGCTCTGTGCTGACAAGAGTTGAGGGGGGAACCAAAGCCAAAGTCAATATTCTTCTTGATAAAAAAACAAAGCCAGCCCCGAGCTTGCAAACCTCCATCGCCTACGACCCAAACGGGATGACAAGGCAACGTCTACGATTCCTAATGAAAACGCAAGACACGCACGCGGACGCTTTCTCTCCAAAGAACTCACGCCAACGCCACACGCTGGCACGGAACTCTCTGTGTATTGAAAGCAGAAAACAGTATTAAAAAAAAAATAAATAAAAGTGTGTAAGTAAAACGGGGTTGTAGGGTTCTTCAGATGTAATATTTTACTGGTACTATTTATTTATAAATAGGAATTCTAATTAAGTAATAACATGAAATGGAATCCAGCGTGGGAGCTGGCTGAGAGCTTTTAATTTTATTGATACTCGAAACCAAGTTTTTTTTTTTTTTTTTCCCCTTTTGAAT